TCATCATCATTATCATTGTCACTACCATCACCATCATCATCATCATCACCATCACCATCATCATCATCACTACCATCATCATCATTATCATTGTCACTACCATCACCATCATCATCATCACCATCACTACCATCATCATCATTATCATTGTCACTACCATCACCATCATCATCATCATCATCACCATCACCATCATTATCATTGTCACTACCATCACCATCATCATCATCACCATCACTACCATCATCATCATTATCATTGTCACTACCATCACCATCATCATCATCATCACTACCATCATCATCATTATCATTGTCACTACCATCACCATCATCATCATCATCACCATCACCATCATCATCATCACTACCATCATCATCATTATCATTGTCACTACCATCACCATCATCATCATCATCATCACTACCATCATCATCATCATCATCATCATCTTCATCATCATCATCAGCATCACTACCATCATCATTATCACTATCATCATCATCATCACCATCATCACCATCGTCATCCCTATCATGTCTATTCAAGCACTTTTCATTATTTTGTTCATTTTCATTTTAAGAAAGCTACTCGAAAAGGAACATATGTATATAAAATCTTGATGAAAGTCAAGAAAATTTCTTTGAATAATGGGAATACACTAAAAAAATGAAAAAACAAAACGAAACAAAACAACGTGAAATAGTAAAAAGGAAAACAACAGATCATTTAAATTTGGATGTAAATGACAATAGCATTGCTGCTTTAATAGCGAGATTATTACCGGATTATGTATATACAAAATTTAATTGTAAGAACTTTCCGTGGTTTACTAATCTTCTTTATTATCAAGTATATATAAAATTGAATTGCAAGGGGGCGGTCATTAAGAATATTACAATCATTAATTATGTAGAACTTTCAGTGTTTTACTAATCCTCTTTATTACCAAGTATATATATAAAATTGAATTGCAAGGGGGCGGCCATTAAAAATATTACAATCATTAATTATGTAGAACTTTCTGCGTTTTACTAATCCTGTTTATTATTAAGTACATACAAAAATGAATTTTAAGGGAGCATTAAAAATATTACAATCATGAATTAAGTAAAACTTTCCGTATTTTACCAATTCTCTTTATTATTTCAACATCGCCATCAACTTCCACTGTTACCCAGGCGCGTACGCAGGGGGGGGGGGGGGGGAGTTTTGGGGGTTGAACCCCCCTTTGGTATATTTATGTGTGTAAACCCCCCTAAAACCCCCCTAAACCCCCCTAAACCCCCCTAAACCCCTCCCCCTTTTGAAAAAGTGTCCTCTTACCCCCCCCCCCCCACTGAGCGAATTTTCGGCTGGCTGAGTCGTTGCGATTTTTGGACTCCAAAAAAAAATAGTGTCCGCTTACCCCCCCCCCCCCCCCCCCCCCCCCCCCTCCCCCACTGAGCGACTTTTCGGCCGGCGCGATTTTCAAATTTTCGGGAGCAAAATAATAAAGCTGAGTCGTTGCGAAATTTTGAGCCCGATTTTAACCCCCCCCCCCCTTGAAAAAATCCTGCGTACGCCCCTGCTGTCACCACATTACTAAAAAAGATTATTTAAAGACCGTCTTGTTCCGTTCTCGTCTCTGTTGGCATCCCCCTTTCCCCCTATTTTGTAGTTACGGACTTTTTAATTTAATTACTTAAGTATCATTGTTTAAGTATTATTTGAGGTTTTCACATTTGTACAAGCATTGCTTTTAGTGGACCCCTCTGTTTCCAATATGTATTTCTACATTTGTTGTAAAAATTAATGTTTATAATTTATTTGTAATGTTTTGTTGGAAACGTAACTAAATTGAAATTGACATTGATTTGAATTCCCTGCTAGTATACGGTGTTTACATACAATTTGAAGATTTGGGATAGGGTAGAACAGCGGTTTTCAATCTTTTTCTAATCACGGCACCCTTTTAAGAGTCCTTTTGCATCCCTCTGGTACTCTTCAAGTGCCATGTACACACTTGGGGGGGGGGGCATATTTATATATCTGTGATATTTTAAATATGGTATACATTTTATGTTGTAATCAACGTACTAGATAACATAAGAAATAATGTATATGCGGGTTCCTCGCCGCCGAATATATGTCATGAATACAAAAAATATATATTCGGTCACCTCGATACACAAATATGACGTTCTTTAGGCATCTCGTTGCCCCAGATTATCCTATTTCTAAATGTTGCGAGTGAATGAAGCGAACAAGCGGGTTGAATATTCCTCTTCTTCTATGTGCCATATCCTGAGACGTTGGCGACCATGGAGTGTCACAACTCTCTATCCCATATTCTATGAAGTAATTCATTCTCCCCGAGATCAATTCCACATTAAAAAATCCCACTCCTAATGTTCCATTCTTCCGTATAACATGCCCCAAGAAGCTCAGCTGTCGACCTCTTATATTATTCAGAAGTTTTTGTCTTGTTCCTGCCATGGCAAATACCTCATCATTAGAAACTCTTTCTGTCCATGAAATTCTTAACATCCTTCTCAGGAACCAAACTTCACAACTTTCCAGTTGCTTTCTTAGGTCTGATGTCAGGGTCCAAGCTTCACACCCATACATTAGAACTGGATACACGTAGCAATTGAGTACGCGGAGTCTCGTTTTCATCTTCAGCTTTTTATTCTTTAGGATGTTTTCTTACTTGGAGAAAGTTGATTTTGCAAGTGCAACCCTTCTCTTGATTTCTTGCTCGCCTCTTGCATCGTCTGTAATTGTAGTCCTGAGGTAATTAACAGAGGTGGCTTGCCTTATTTGATTGTTGTTTATCTTAAGAGAGCATGGTATTCCTCCCTTCTTTGAAATTACCATGCATTCCGTTTTCTTGTAATTTAATGATAATCCTCTCTTGTCACTTTCTCTGACGACAACATCCAAAAGTCGCTGCAGGTCCTTTATGATTCTGCGATTAATATAGTATCATCCGTATACCGTGTGTTTGTGATATTATGTCCTCCTACCTTCAATCCTCTTTCCTGTTTCTAAGTATCAACTCACTGTAATAATTGAAGAGATCTGGAGACTTGACACATCCTTGCCGAACCCCATCTTAATGTTGATGTAGTCCCTTAATTCTGTTTCCACCTTAACACATGCTGTTTGCTCCCAATACAGATTTTGCAGTAACTTTATATCCTTTGTGTCTAGTCCAATCTTGGTTAAGTCTTCAAGTAAATGAATATTTATTTGAATATATAATTTCGAATTTATAGATATAAGACTCTTCATCACGCTGTCAAATGGATGAATATTCGGGCACTTCTATGTCCAAATTTGTAGGTATTCAGGCACTTCGTTGCCTGCAATCATCCTGTTCCTATAAGTGTAATGCGAACATTGAAGAATTACATTTTATTGTCTTTACAATGCTAATTCCTCACGAAATATTTGTTTTTTACGAATTCGACATTATTCCAGTATAATTTTTATATAACTCAACGTCTCCCGTGGCACCTTTTTGATAAAGGCTGCGGGTAGAACATGGTGTGCCGTGATTCCTGATTATGTCAAATAGCAATAGTTGATTTGACCTAAACGTTTTATGATAAATTGTGTTCAGTCAATTACGTCAGTTACCAGAAAACATTACTTGGCATTGTGACTAATATAATCATTACGTGATATTATGCACTATTCAGAGGCGAATCAAGGATTCCCTAAGGGGGAGGGGGAGGGGGGCATATAATTCCAAAAGAGCGAGAACAAAAATGGTGGTTCGTTTTTTTTTATAAGAATGAGCCCTTTAGGCTAAATAAGTATCATCAACCGATGATTCTACATTCCTTTCTCTTTTTTTTTCTCCCCTTTTATTCAGGGCCGTTTGGCCCTTGCCCCTGTGCCCCTAGATCTACCACTATTGTTTATTATATAAAATTTGTGAATCTGTGATTGTGTGGATCACTGTTTGGCATGAATGGAGGCGATGACGAATGATAAAATACTCGCTTTGGTCTAAACAAAAAATGATGTCCGGTTAATAATTTACATTAACTTCAATGGCGTACGTGAATAGTGGTAATCTTGACCCAATTGTAGTTGAAGATTAAAACTAAGGACCACGAGAGCGACAACACAATCTTCATTAACACAATTATTAACAAGAAAGATAGCGAAGTTAGAGCTGATAAGGGCAACGGCAATTTTATTTTCTTGGAGGGGGAAGGCACAGCCGGTCGTGCCTCCCGATTTTGAAACCCAGTTGGCATACCTTAGGTACACAACCCGAAGTATTTGCCCCTTTCCTCTTTCCAAGTGAGAACTCATACCTCGTGCTGCCAGATGAGTGAGAACTTCTCTCTCTCTCTCTCTCTCTCTCTTCAAAACATCAAATTGAGTCGTTATCATCTCCTACCCCGTTCTAACAATTGCATCCAATTATCTGATCATCCCTCTCTTCGGAATATAGTGCTCCCTTTAAAAAAAAAACCTTGTTCCGTACGCCCTTGAATTAGGGTCTGTGTTTGACAACGCAAAAACAAATGATTTTTTTTTTAATGTCTAGTGTACTGGGATTAAAAACCGGATGTAATAAATAGGGGAAAGGCCCGATTAACTGTGTTGTATCATTTTTTTTGCGATAACAATTTACTTGCCTCATTTTAATCCCCTAACGTGGCACTTGTGTCATTAATAGGCCTTAATGTTCGATTAACGGCAAGATTAATGGCAAGGCATTAATCTACATTTTCCACCCCGTACCCAGGAGAGAAAAAAGGACAGGGTAGGGTGACAAAAGCCTTTGTGTTAGTAGTTGCCATATGCCCTCATGGTGACCATATTATGGAGGAATACTCCCCAGGGTAGGGGTCTTGCACATTGTGCGTGAATGTATCCGATGGCCGGGGTAATGGTAGAGACGTTGTAATAAGCGCTATATAAATCCAGATTATTATTATTATTATTATTATTTTCAATACACCGAAAGAAAAAATAACCACATGGTAACACGAAAGGAAATCACACTACCAGAAAATATGATTATATTAAACCTCTGATGATGTTTTTCATTGGCCATACAGGTCTACACTTGACACTGTTCACTGAACACCCGGAATACGTGGGGCTCTTCGCCCAAGAGGCCGGGGTTCGAGTCGCCATTCATCCCCCTAACGTGTTCCCCTTTCCAGAGGACGATGGGGTAGTTGCATCGACAGGACAGGCAACAGATATCGCCATGAGACAGGTGTGTATAGAGAAGAGAAAGAGAAACGGGGAAGGAAGAGAGAGTGATGTGGGAGGGGGCGGAAAGGGAGACAGGGGAAAGGAGAGAGAGAGGGAGAGTAACATCGATTGTTTTTTCATTTTTTCATTTTAACTTGATAGGATCGGCATTGTCTACAATCGTGTGCTATGTAATCCCTTCAATTAGACTTCGCGCTCGCAATTTTTCATGCTCCTTAATTATCCATCACACTAATGCAGAGTTCGTTACAAATGAAAAGTTATCTATTTAAAACGACATGAGAACAATTTTGGTAATGTAGTATGCTCAGCATTGTGAGCGTCTGTGAAATGGCGCCTAGCTAAAAAAATAATCCACAGGGAGTCGACAATGTGACACATTGTGTGTGGCCGAGCTCAAATCAGATGACCGGGGTAATAATAAATATCTGTAAAGCGCTTAGAAACATCGTTGATGTATTATTATAGAGATATCGACTGCTTTGAGAGGCCTGGCTGTTTTTATATGCTGGCTCAAGGGAACCCGCGCACCTCCTGCCATGACCCCTGGGCGCGCCGCTCACACAGGTGCGCCTCGGGATCATGGCAGGACATGCTAGTTCCCGAGAGCATATAAAGCAGCCAGACCTCGAATATTAAAGCAGTCGATATGTCTTTTATATGCCGAATCGAAACAAAAATCTATCAAGAATTCTTACCTTATCCTTTTATTGAGAAAAGATTGGTTAAAACATCACGGTAAATCTGAGACACTGTCTGTAATCTTTGCTTGAAAAATGACTGAAATTTTCAATCATTTGGGAATCGCAGACAAAAGCACTGTATGGTGTCCGCGTCGCCAAAATAACATTTTAGCACGTAAACCAATGGGTATAGCAGCAAAAAAATTTCATGGTAACCGAAATTTTGAGGGACCTCACTCTTGGACTATTAACCAGTATTGGCATTTTTCGTTTCTTTACGGGAATGGCTAAAACCACGACTCAAATTTTGACCAATCAGATGGCTGGATTTCTTTAGTGAGGTATATAATGTAGAGATATCGACTGCTTTGACTGCGCCTGGTGGGCGGCGCGCCATTGGACAGGACGTCATTTTTACTTGTCAGAGATTGTTGAGGAAGATATAACACTTCATAACGCTTCTCTCTCTCTCTCTCTCTCTCTCTCTCTCACACACACACACACACACACCCTCTCTCCCTCTCTCTCTCTCTCAGCTTACTCTTAAACGAGATGTTTTAGGCCGTATCCGGACACCTACCCTGGACATCCACCCCCGGATAATAACCCCCAGTCAGCTACCCCCTAGGACAACTACCCCCCTAGGGCAACCACCCTCTAGGACGACTACCCCCGGACAACTACCCCCATACAACTACCTCCTAGGAGAACTATCCCGGACAACTACCCCCTACGACAACCATCCTAGGGGTTAGTTTGCTGGAGGGATAATTGTCCGGGGGTAGTTCTTCTAGAATCTAGAGGATGGTTTGATGTCCAGAGGGTAGGTGTCCTAAAACCGTTTTAGTCATGTGCCCTCCAATATACAGTCTAGTACCACCCCTGATGTATATGTGTTTTTCTTCATTACTATCACAGTCTTACTTCAAGCGGCTTCCCCATCCCCATGGCAACTGTACGGATAGATCTCGGACTAACTTCACATCGGAAGAATATGCTTACACCACCCGTGCGTGCGTCAAGTCCTGCGTTCAGCAACAGCTTTTTGACAAGTGCGGGTGCGTTACGGACATCATAATGAACGAGACGTTCTGCAGCCCACGAAACAGATCTCAACGTACGTATCCGTCGTTCCACCCGCTTTCTTATCGCGCCCCGTCCCTACTTTAAAAGGGCATTTCCACCCCGATATTATGTTAACTTTAATCGAAGCAGAAAAATGGGAGAAACATGTTAGTGCAAGAGCAAAACCGCTTGAAAGGCACGATTAATCAAACACATATTGGCAACTCTGTGACTTATCTTGTAAGCGACCCTCACATTTGCCCTGTTTTAACAAACTTCTCGCAAGATACGTCGCAGTGTTGACATTTTGTATTTTACTGATCACAACTTTAGAAATTAAAAGCTGTCCAATTTTAATCGGATATTGATCAAACTTTCGATAAATTATTAAATGTGTTTTTCTTATTTATTTTTGTATTAATACCAACTTTATATAAGAATGAACTTTCCCATTAAATGCTTATGAAATGGTAGGTAACACATAATGATTCAGATTTCTTCCCTTTTTGCGTGATTGCACCCCATTAGTTCCTCTTCTCTCCGCCTCTCTCTCTCTCTCTCTCTCTTTCTCTTTCTGTGAATTCAGGATTTTTCGAGCGGGAACAAGGTTTAAAATAAAATAAAATGAGGCCAAGGAGCACTATTTTTTTTTTGAGGGGGGGGGGGGGGGGGGGGGTGAGTAGTGAGTGAGCACTAATTTTTGTTTACTCAACACCCCCCCCCTCCTTTTTTTTTGCCGGTCTTGATTTTCCCCCAACAATGCCGTTTTTATTCCAGAGGTTTGTCGCCAGGCTACAGAACAGTTCTATAATGAATGTCAGCTACCATGGAACTGCCCTATCGCTTGCGAGTAAGTAGAGCTTTGGATTTCTTTTGCATATTTTTTAAAATTATATAACGAAACTTTCGCTTATATACCTATGTATAGCAAGTGTGTGTGAAAAAAAATATCTGTCTTACTTTGACAGTACTTAGGAGATCGGTATCTATGGCCCAATAAGTCAAACAATAAAAAATAAATTCTTCCCAGAAGAATTGGGCAAGAAATTAACAAATTCTTATTTTAAAGACCGTCAATACTACTGGGCCAGAAGGGATTAGACCACACAGCGAGGTCACTGACAGGTGGCTATCTCATTAACTCAGCTCTCAACTAACATAAGAAAAAGAGGATCATGGGGACCAACAGGCACCGATTGGGAAGTTTTATATATAGAGGGAGCAAGTAGCTACAAGTAGGACATTGGGGCTTTAACTTCAATCTAATTTAATTCAATTCAATTTAATTTAATTCAATTCAATTTAATTCAATTTAATTCAATTCATCTATTTTCCTCTTTCAATTGTTCATATTTACAATGATGGTACATTCGTACATTTTCACATATTCACATTTATAGATATAGATCAATTTGCATAATACAATACATTAAACAAAATGATATGTGGTTGGGCAAATTACATTGACCAACAGCTATTCAACAATCACATTTTACCCAACTTTCAGTCTGCTCGATTATTTGATATACTTTCAGTTGGTGAGTTAATTGCCTAACTAATCTTACCAAATGAGATAATACCCAATTGGCATTTTACAAATCGCTGTTGAGTATAAAGCTTGTGAAATACCCAACTATTTTACCCAACCTTTTAGCTTGCCAACTCAATTTTGATATTTCTTCATCGCTATGCTTCGAATCATTGGCTGATCGTTATCCTCCTATACTTTTTTTTCAAGGGAGACGCTCTTTGTGACATCTGTGACGTCATCACTTTGGCCTTCAAAACGATATGAGGTATTACTTATTATCCACTTCATATTGTTTCATAATATCATGGAAACGAAAGGGAACAAAGAAACGTTTCCGGCGTCCGTCACAAATATTAAAGCTACATGCAAGATTCTCTTGTGACAAGTAATTTCTCAGCCATCAATCCTATTGTGACCAAACAAACATGTATTTTGGGGACCTCCGCGCTTTAATGCTATAAAGGGTCACATGCTAAGGTCAAATGTCATTCGGTGTCATATATTAAAGTTTGCATTTAAGATTCTCTTGTGACAAATAACTTTAGCAACTGCTAATATATTGTGACTAAATTTGGGTCACAGAATGGGGTCACATACTAAGGTCAAAGGTATATTGAGGTCATTGAGGTCAAAACCCTCAAGAAAGATTACCGAGAGTCCTTTTTTAGGACTCCTCAATCCTCCCTCTCTCTCACATGGTGCACCCGCAAGCCTACTGTATATTGAGGTCATAATCGTGTTATGTTAATGTTTATCTGCAAGACTTTCTTGTTACAAATAAATTTGCAACCATTAATCTATTGTGACCACATAAGTTTGCAAACAATACTAGTCTCTATAACATTTTTATCCACCATCAATCTAACGGATTACAATTCAAACATCCATTCATCTCTGTTTTTTTCTTTAAATCAAGCTTCTAGTTCCTTCATTTTTCAGGTACAAGCTGCCTTGACACTTCATTTCCACCTTTTCTTACAAAACATACTTGCAACATATTTATTTCCTAACACAAGCATGGCAACTGCTAGGAAAAATATAAATTAACATACATTGTACCAAGTTCAACCAACTTGAGTCAGGGATGCTTTTTGGGAACATTCATATAATTTGTGGGCCAGACAAAATCCGGAGATTGCCGTGTCTTATTTTTCAGATCATAATTTTGAAATCAATAAAGAAACCAAATTGAGCGTAATAGCATTTATTGAATTGTTTTATTGAAAACCAAACAAATGTGAATGTTATCAAATGACATTGTCCATTATTGTAGATGCTAATCAGTGGGTAATGAAATAAAGTTCATATTAACAAATCATTCTCAAATGTATCAAAAGTATGTATTACTTATCTATTTTTCACGTGATCACACGTCAGAGTCACCTGAAAACTCGATTGACCAATGAAAAGGCTAAACGTGCTTTGGACAACGTCGAACACACAAGGTAAGCAGTCTATATAAACAAGAGAATCCAAATATTCATACTGTATTTGAGATGAAAATCTGATCGCGGTAGCTCGTTCAGAATTTTTTTTTGAAGGAGAGGTAACCCGATGTCCGAAATTTTGATTTAATTTTGATTTTTTTTTTTAAATATATATTTTTTGGGGGGTGTTTTTATTGGTAAATCAAAAGAAATCACAATATTTACGGATAATTTACATAATTAGGAACAAATTCACCAAACAGAATAAAGCAATAACAATAACATTAATTAAATGGTACAAAATAAAATCAATATTGTTTATACTGTTTTAATATGTTTTTTTTGAAAGGCATATGTCATAATATGGTATAACATCACCAGGTGTCTCAAAAGGAATTGCGTACATCATTAACGCGGTGTTCCTTCCTCATCCGTAACGATTATTGCATTCGAGGAATATGCCTACCGGGTATCCACGTACAACGTACTCCTGGGTCGAGTGTGGCAAGTGTAGATTAATGTCTTGCCAAAGGTTAGAGCCGTTGCTGGCAATCGAACCACGTATCTTATCATCTACAGCCTAGTGATATATCCACTAGACCAGCGCCACTTATTCATCCAGGGTGCAGCAAGACATCTCTAGTGGTGCCGCGAGAGAAGTTCAGTTAGGCCTACATTTATTTATTTATATTGGAAAAAGGTAAATTTCGTGAAAACAAGCTGTTCTTTGATTTGTCTTGTGCACAGAAACAATCTAGCTCGAGTCCGGATCTACTTTGAAGAACTCAACTATGAGCAGATGATCCAAAACCCAAAGTACACGGTATGTTCACTTCGACTTCCATGATCATCTTTATCTTCAAACACGTCTCAACATCCCTATATTTAAAGAATTACCCAGTCGTCAGTGTTAACTTCTTAATTCAAAGACTTCATTATCTACTTACCCGTCTACCCGAAATTTAAAAAAAACTGTGATGCTATTGCATTATCACGACAAAATATTATCAAAGTACCTATTTAAGGGAAAGCATGTTGATAGATACAAATTTTGGAATGCATTCACGCGTACACGACACATTTAAGCCCCTGCTTATACCCCAATTTTACTGAAGAGGCGAGCATGGCGATCGATGGCGATCTGAAAATTTCGTAAGGTGTGACAAAATCTTCCTCCAACCCCATTTTTGGCCTGTGAGACGATTACACGGTTCTTCTGCGATCTACTCGTGCTGAGGGGGATGGCGATACGATGATTGTACGACGCTACCACTTTATCGCCCCATTTCTAGGCCGATGAGTCGCGGTGCTTCTGCAATCAAAGCGATCTTAATACGAAGCTCATACGCTAGATTACGCTCAATTATATTCAAGACTTCACTACAGTGGTGCTGTGATGCGAGCGGGGCGACTGTGATAGGTTCATGCTGGGCTACTTCGAAGATTGCAGGCCATCGGTATATAAATCGAAGCAGTCGATGCCCTTTCCATGAGCTTGTCATACGCTTTAGGCTGTACATTGTGTCATTTTTAATACACCTTGCAGCCGATTGCGATGCACTTTAGCACCTCAGCGCACTCGCTATACAATTTTTGAAAAAGTAAAATTTTGTGGTGACTTGGAGATGGCGATGATCCTATAGACGATGAAGAAGATCGAAAAAAATCAAGCCACGATCCACCTCCCTTTGACATTTTGGGGGGATCGCAGCATAAACTTCTTCTAGTGAAAGGGGAAATTAGGGGTATACGCCATATTCCCCATAATACCTTGCTATCGAAATTGTTTATGTTAGTCTGTGTAAATTACATAGTACCAATATAAACCTGAAGCAGGGAAGGAATAATACAGAGAAATAATCTTCAGGGCTTCCATTTTCCTGCTATCTGATTTTGTTGTTGTCTTCTCATCTCCAGATCGAGAGTTTACTTGGCGGCATCGGAGGTCTTCTTGGTCTCTATATCGGTTTCTCTGTGATCACCGTTTGCGAAGTCGGTGTCCTGGTCGTTGATCTGGTCAAATTCCTCTTTCGGAAGGCGTACAGCCGCAACAAAGTCGTTCCCATTGATTTCAAAAGTTAATCTAGAATAATTTGTCTCATTATGGTTTATTTTCCATTATGGTTTATTTTCCAATACAGGGTAAGAGATGTTAGTTGATGAGTTGCGCTCTGCAAGTATGATCTGTTAGCCATCAAAGGATGAAAGACTAGACCAATAGCCAAAAGGCGTCAAGTCTTTTGTCTTTCGTCGTTGATCTCTTGTAATGTATCATTCGAAATGGAATACAGGTGGGACAAAGGCGATCCTGTTGATTGAAAGAAAATTAATCAAGAAAACATTCTTTACTTAAATATCTTCATATACTGATATGCAGCTTCAGATAATTCAACGTCAGAGCTGACTGGGTTGGTTTTTCTTAAAGCCCCTTTAAAGTGTTGGGAACCACAAATTCGCCAAACATTATGATACAATTTAGGTGAAATTCCTCCATCAAATTGTTGGGACTCCCAACACTTTAAAAGGGGCTTTAAACAACGCAGTATTAAGTTTGGCCAAGTTGTCTTGAGAATTTAAGATAGAATGTCCGACTAATGAATTGAGATTTTAGTACCAAATGGTTCAGAATACGATATACGTGCTGGAACTGAATAATTTTATACGATGTTTGTGGTTGACAGTGTTGTATCTTTTGAATTGCCAATGTCTTGTAAGCCGAGTTGGCAGATTTTGAGACTTTGAGTCTCCAGAGCTGGCGGACTTTTGGACTTTGCCAGAGTTGGCAGATTTTTGGACTTTGCCAGAGCTGGCAAGTTTCGGGTCTTTAATCAATTTGGCATATATTGTTATAATACATGTATTTGGACATGTTTAGTAATTTGCTGAAAAGAGACTTAATTGATTTATTTATTTATCCATTTAAAGTGGTTTAATTCATTAGTTTTTTTTAAAACAAAGTATACATCAGTGACAAAGTAAAATCACACGTAATACAAATATGCATGATAACATTATGGTAGTAAATTGCAATTCTTTTTGTACTTAATAATGTATAATTGTGCTTCTACGACACCTGCTCTGGCTACAATTAATTGCTATCTTTACACTGGCAGGGCTAGTTTGGTGGAATTAAATAGTTTTGGCATCGTACTTGTTGGCAAATTTTGTAGTAGGCCAAAGTGGCGAATTTATAGTGGTTGAGCCAACTGTGGCAGAATTTTCGACTTTGCCAGAGCCGGCAAGATTTGGGACGTAACCAAAAATTGGCACGGTTAATGAATGATGGCACAAATTTGATATTGGATTGGTTGGCATGTTTCTTATTAAAGGTGTTGTTTTTATGACCGTAGACATTTAAGATGTCCTATTTTGTGAAAGTTATTTATGAGTGGCAAATATTAATTTTTCCTCTTTAACGTAAAATATCACCAGTGCCTCATAATGTATGAGGCATCCTGTAGATTTAGATTAGGATTTATGTTTAACTCTTAGTTTAATTTTAGTATCACAACAATTTGAACATGTATTTTATACTTGTAAATTGTAACTTAAGGTTTAACTTTAGCTCAATCTGTATGATTGAGGATGCCTCGTTAATGTATCTGTAAAGGACAAAGGCAGTCTTTTACTTGAATTAGAAATGCCTTTGCTTCTATGTCTAAATATGAGTGCACTGGATTGTGAATCTGTTAACACACTCTCTTTATCTCTCTATCCATCTTTCGGCACTCAGAATTTGTACAGTAAGAAACGTTGATTATAATTACTTCGAGATTTTATTACAGCTCATAATAACTTGTGACAATTACCGATATTGGACAGTAAAATGTAGGTTTAGCACTGAATTACAGACAGCAAGGGGCGAATTCTTAGATAAACCGGTTGTCTTTGGATTGAAGTACGTTTTAAACTGATTAGTTAATTCTGGAGTTGGCGATAATTAGGAATTTGACAATTGAGGCTATCTTATCATAGAGACCTTGGTAGGAATGTCCTTGGCGCCAGGAGTGTCATGTATGACGGATATGAGCGCTATACAAGAACGCACTATTGTTATTATTATTATTATTTAAAGTCACATGGGTAGCCGACAGAGTGAGCTAGCATGTTAGAATATGGATGGAGAGACCCGTTTATGGTGAAATACCCGTTGAGCGGTGACTATACATGAAGGTAGATTATGCAGTTGGCAATAAGAAGATAGACAGTAAGGTTGAGTATTTGGACTCAAATTTGGATTGGAGTAATAGTTGGATGGCTGCTGGTCAGCCTACACTGATCGTAGTTGAGATGCTATGTCGTGTTTAGCCCAGACTAGAATTATTTCTCATGTTTTCGTAGAAAAGAGAAGGTACACCATGTAGTATAATAATTAAGTTGCTAGTGATCTAAAACTGTTAAATCATCATAAACCTCAAGTAAGATCTGTTTAATAGCCATCAAAGGGTAAAGTCTTTTGTCTTTCGTCGTCGATCTCTTGAAATGTATCATTCGAAGGCATACATTCGCGACAAAGGTGATTCTGTTAATTGAAAGAAAGTCGATCTAGAAAACATTTTTACTTTAAATGTCTTCATTTAATTATACGGAGCTTCAGAAACCCCCAACGGGATAGCTGAAGTTTGATTTTTATTCATTTTGTGACAATATTTCCAGGGGCGTATCCGGTGTGTTGTAGGGAGAGGGGGGGGGGGGGGACAAATCTCTGACAAGCAAAATATAGACAACCCAACCCGCCCCCCCTTTTTAAAGATGTATTTGGGTCTAACATTTGAAGGGGGTACAAAACACAATTAAGAGCACATTTTCGTTTCCTAATAAATCCAACGGGTTTGTTGTTGTTTTCATTTGAGCGTTGTTTATCGCACGTAAGAATCTCTCTCTTCAAGCAAATTTATTCTGACGTTGTTTAAAAATCGATCTTGTTTTTCTGCGTGAATTATGTCCTTACTTGCCGAAGCTACCACTCAACGATCAATCGATTTCTTTTCCCCCTACATTTCATTGACATAATTATGCAAAACTTGTTGAAATATGTATCCATAACCATGGTTCATTTGTTTTGAGAGTATCTGAGAAACAAATAGTCCGTGGAATTATCCAAGAAGATAATAAAAACTCTGGAACAAATGCCTTTCAATGTCATTCAATTCATTGAATTTTCATTGTATTTTATTCGTCGAAATTGATTTCATTGCATGACATTTTAAAAATGTATACGTATCTTACATTGTTACAAAATGTTTCACTGCCCTATATATATATATGTGTCTTTCAGAATCATTGATCATCTTCGCTACAAAATACTCATGAATTAAAAAAACACGAGCAAGTATGAAACTGTTTCGATTTGTTCCTTCCTAAAATTGATATTTAAAATTGATATTTAATTGTCAACGTTTTCGGTGACACTGCGAGGTGACTGTTATGCGATTCCCGACTCTTGATTAAAGGGGCACGTTCCCGCCAGCGTAGTTATCGGCACATGCCATCTGCGTAAGAGCCGTATTCTGTTGGTGTCAATAGGCAGCTATAGCGCCGTCCGCCAGCGCGTGCGTATTTTGAGCGCCCTCTGGAATACGGGGAACATGCCCCTTTAAGTTTGCCGTCGACAAAAGATAGGTTAGGACGTATGGGTAGCAATGGGAGGGGAAAAGAAAGAGAAAGGAGGAGGAAGGGAAAGGGATATAAATTATATGTTTTATATAATATATATATATATATATATATATATATATATATATATATATATATAACAAATATATCAATTTGAATGATTCTCCGTCACGGTAATATACAAATAATGATTAAAACACTTGAAATAAAAACCCTTGAGAGTTCACCTATTCATTATGACTGGTTTCAATGTTATCTCTACAGAAAAGGGGAGTGAGGGATCTGAAGAAATACAATTGAAACCGGTCACAGCGAAGAAGTAAACTCTCAATGAGTTTTATTTCAAATGGTTTAATAAATATATAATTATAATATGAACACTAATCAGATGGACAGATTTAACTGGAAGAGGGGCTGCGAGAAAGAGAAAAAAAGAGTGGAAGAGAGAGATATACAGATAAAAAGAAACAGAGATGAACCTAGAGAGCGAGGGAGGGAGGGAGGGAAGGAGAGAGAGAGAGAAAGAAAAGAGAGAGAGAGAGAGAGAGAGAAAGAGAGAGAGAGAGAGAGAGAGAGAAGGGGGGGAAAATATATTCTAAAACAATAATTACAACAGCACATCAATCTTTTCCCAGTTCAATTAATATTAAAGTAATTTGAAGGAAACAAAAACTACAATGTCGAGATGATCAAACAAACATGAATATCATATTCAAAATTAATTACCCCCTCTCTCTCTATTTCTCTGTATGTCTGTCTCTCTCTCTCTGTCTGTCTGTCTCTCTCTCTCTCCACCTCTCTCTCTCTCTCTCTCTCTCTCTTGTTCTCTTCAATTGTTGCCAATGTGTGGCGGGAGGGAGGGGGGGGGGGCACGGCCTCAAGAGGCGAGAGGACTTTAAACGTTCGTCCAGAAAGGGCATTGAGCTAAAGATTAAACAGGTTCGAAGTATCAAATGTTATCACTGTTTCTATTTGAATTGGGTGAATTGATATACAATGATTTATTAAAAACCATGAGAAGAATGATGATTTTGCCATTAGACCTATCTAAAAGTAATTGTCCTTCACAAATATTTGACCGGCATTGCTCTACTGTTGTAACACATAGGCCTGTCATCGCATTAGTACAAAAAATATTAATTTCCTATTTCAAAACACTGCTCGGTAAACTTTGCAATAGTGGAATTACTTGTATACACGGGTGAAATATATTGGCAGAGAGATAAGAAAAAGGCGGGAAACGAATTCTAAATGATTATTAGATCCTGCTATCTATTTTAGGTTTTACTTGCATGTAATATCTTGCTCGTTTTCTTCATCAGTTAATGTTTGAGGAAGTGTATGCAGATCCAGGAACAATGATTTTGAAAGTATCTCAAGTTATTCCATTGATACTTTCTCTGATGAAATTCTCCACGACTACTGCCGCCACCGCTCATGTGATCGGCTGGCCCAAGGCAACACTCCCCGACCCTGAAGGCACCGTCATCACCGGCATCACCGTAAAGTACGACGAGCCTGACTTTCTTGGGGTCAACAAATCGGTGGACGCCTACTTGGGGGTTCGCTACGCCGAGCCACCGGTCGGGGCACTTCGGTTCCAAGACCCGAATCCGTACGCGTACAGAGGGAACTACAACGCGACGGAGGACCAAGATATGTGCCTGCAGATGATGGTTCTGGACTATCTAACAGATCTACCAGGGAATCCGATTGAGGGGCGTGATATGGGAGAGGATTGCCTCTTCTTAAGTATTTACACTCCGTCTCCGAAGGTGAGTAAAAACGTCAGGGGCAGCGCCGGGATTTTTTCTATATGGAGAGGGCAAGGGAGAGCGTCGACACTCTCGTAAAAAATGTTAGCATGTTGTTACCGGGAGACACAAGTCTGCCAAATCTGAGACAAGAATTTTTTTTCTTTTTTAAATGAAAGATTATGGAAACATTATAGTAGGAGCCAATTATAGGCCGTTGATGGCACTTTCCTCTATTGCTCCTCGCCCGTGGAAACGGTGGAATTCCCTCCCATCATCTATTCGCGAAATCGACAACCTTGACCACGTTAAAGCTTCACTCAAAACTCACATCTTCCTCCAGACATTTAAATGCTAACTTCATTGGAGGAGCTCGCGCCTTTGAATGTTTTATTGAAACAGATATATGGGGCCATACAAATGCTGTGAATCATCATATAGGTAAGGTCACATTATGCATGGAGTTTTTTCGGGATCCTAACAAAACGAATTAAAGGGTGATCCCTCTTTCCCTCATGATAATGGCAATGATTATAGCTAAGTGTGAGTTAAAGATGGGCCTTCATAAGTTTTTTTGTGTAAAGATTGCTTTCAATATATACGTGATAATTGGCCAGATAACAAATCACATTACCATCTGGAGTAGTGGATTCCTATTCAAACCAACAGAACAAAAGTAAAATACAAACAAAAAGCAAAAACAAACACACAACTTTCCTTATTCTTGCACTGTTATGAAAGGTATTGTAAATTACTGGAAAGAGAAAAAATAAACACAATTGCTCCTCTCTCTCTCTCTCTCTCTCTCTCTGTTTTCAGCCCACCTCTCTAGCCCCCGTGATGGTTTGGATACATGGTGGAGGTTATTTGATAGGATCGGGTTCGTCCCATTCCTACGATGGCGTTCCATTGGTCGCCATGTCCGACATCATCGTGGTCGCCGTCAACTACCGCCTCGGCGTCTTTGGTTTCCTGACGACGGGTAAGATTGATAGTGCGATAGGCTAATAGATGAGCTCTTGAGTGTTCTACTCTATTTATTTTGATCATTTTAAGCAAACAAATGTAATCATTAAATTTCTTTTGTATTTCTGTTGTTGGATTTCCGGACATTTTCACTGTAATTCATGTTTATTATTGTCTTTTTATCGGATGTGGAAATGATAACATTGAAATTAAAATTGAATTGTCTTTATCCATGTCCCGCAATTAGATTTATGAAGTGTATTTTGGCATCAGTGATTACAAAAAAATACAACTTCAGAAAGAAACAATAACAGAGCTTTTTTACTTACAATGAAATATACAGATATAAGGTAGATTATGGTTGATATAAAGCAACAAAACGACGTACATTAAGTATGAAGTATAAAGTGTTGTTTTTCTTTTGTTCTTCATTTTCAGGAGACGACGTAGCGCCTGGAAATATGGGTATGAAAGACCAAATAATGGCGCTCAAATGGGTGCAAGAAAATATAGAAGGTATACACACTAAAGAAAGCTAGGTATAAAAATGTTTGCCATTATTGAGTTTATGGTAGAAAAAGTACTTACATGTTTGTTAAGTAAAACGTACCCCAAAATGGATACAATTTACAAACTTTTAATTTCCAGTGACCAGTAGGCCTAAAATGCTCTTCTGTTGCCAAAATGATACAATGGGCCTATTTACATTGTCAATCTAATTTGAAGTAGATCCTATGTTTACCTTATAAGTAAAAATGCAGATGCATAGATCTCGCTCATTATTGACTTAACAGGACAAAATTCTAGATTATTATTTTGTTTACATGGATACAAGTTGTAAAGGTGCCGCGGTCTAGGGCATACGTCACCGAACTGTGGATCATACAGTTCTTGGTTTGAGTCCCACCGCGGCACCGGTGTCCTGTGGTAATACATTTAAATAGTCTTCGATTGCCACTCTCAACCCGGGTGTATATAATTAAATGGGTACCTGATAATGCTTACTCAGTGGATACTTTCAGCGCCTTAGGGCAGCTTCGCCAAATCCAAGATTACACTACTATACTTTGTAGGCGCATTAAGCATATCCCCTACTATAGGATCGTGTTTTTATGAACCGTTTTTATGTGCGCTATATAAAATGATGTAGCTAGCTATCGTTACTATTCATATTCCGTTGTGTACTGCTCTGTCTTTGGTAGCTTTTGGAGGTGACCCAGGAAGGGTGACGATCGCTGGGCAAAGCGCAGGAGGGGCAAGCGTGAGTCTTCACATGCTGTCTCCGCTTTCAGAGGGCCTTTTCCACCGTGCCATCATGCAGGTATCCTCGTACACTTTCTCAGACGAAAACACACTTTCAGAGTTTTTCAATTTAGGAACATGATGATGATGATTCGCAGCATTTATAATGAAGGTGCCATATATCTGCTGAATCCATTCAAAGGCACATGTAGGCTCCTTACCGCTCCTATCCAATAAAGTCAATATCTAAACATTTGCTCAAAAAGATAAGTTTTTAGGCAAGTTTGAAAGAGTTTCGACTGTCAATCTCAAAAAAAATATCATGGATTATTTCTAAAGAGTGAGAAATACAACTTTATCCACAAAAAAGCATAATCTACATTATACGTCACGACATGGTCATGACAAGACACCACTGGCACTGAAACTGTAAGGTGTTCTTAATTGCGATACTCCCTTATTGCGCAACGATAGTGTTTTGCTTCAAATCCATCGCGCACTATAAGATCCCCCTGCGATCCAATCATCGAAGAAATTGCAATTATTATTAGATAAGAAATCTAAACAAACATCTTCTTTCTGAATTAGGCTCTAAATAATGATATGAATTCTATCAACCTGAATTTTAGAGCATTTAAGGCTTCTAGTTACAATAAAAGCCGAATCGGCTTCAAATTGTAGACAACCGCACTACTGGTCTGGCGTCACCCCAGCAAACTCAAAACGTTTTCAGAACGTTTACAGAACGTTCGTATCAGGTTTCGTACGTCTTCGTCCATATTAAACGTTTAAAAAACGTTAATATAACGTCTAAGTTGGGACCTTACATTAATTTTTTGTTGCAGAGCTAGGACTTTTGAAGACGTTCAGAAAACGTTTTTGGACGTTACAAATTAAACGTCCTTGGATAGGTCCTGTAAAACGTTTACAGAACGTTTTGTTCAGACGTATTTTGCATACGCAGAGGGGGGGGGGGGGGGGGGGGGGGGTCGAGGTACGTCAAACTGATGCACATATACGGTTCTTAGCTGATTTAGCTTTTCCTCTGCCAAAGAAGCTTGTCATGTATTGAAATTGAGATTCATTAATCCTTTGACTATTCAGATCCTTAATCAAATACTTCCAAAATCGGATAGTAGTCAGATTGTATAGTGTGTGGTGGGTTTTATATTATTCTTAAAACAAGTCTCGAATGCACAATATTCGAGAGGAATACCCCTCCTCTGAGTTAATTCCTGCTCGGTTGTCGTGCTCGCTCGCATGTCAAACCTAATTCACAATAAGGAAACACCACTCGTTAAGTCGCTGATATGTATCGCAAACCCTAGTAGAGCTTGGAAAATATTTCAGACTGTACAGATTATTCACTGTACGAAAACTTTGTCCTCAAAATATAAATATATTTTGTACACGATAGTATGGTCCTTTCACATTGTATTGCTTCTCAATGAAACAAACTCATTATTTTGTCACTTATTATTAATTTGAATAAATATATGATAATTGTGAACGACCATGTGGATTTTTAATGAGAAAGCTTCATGACATTAACCATGTGATTTCAAATCTTAACGACTAAACTTTGCTTTTGTTTTTGTTTAGAGTGGCAACGCAATATGTCCATTTGCATGGAGTCCTATGGACGTATGTGTTGAAGATGCTCACGAGTTTGCAGCATCCCTCAACTGTACTACACACAGTAGTCGGCTGATGTTAAAGTGTCTACAGGAGGTTAACGCTGATGTGCTCTTACAGGAACAACGGGTGAGTCTATGGACCAATTCAAGGTAGATAAATGTAATACTGTTTCCATATGGATTTGAAGTTCAATTCAGTTCAGTCCTAATTTTTTTAACAAAATAAACAACACCGCGGTGCATAAGACTTCATCCACGGAATATCCATCAAATCAATTATCATTATTTATTTATTTATTTATTTAAAATGGTTTATTCATTTTTTTTTTTAATTTTTTTTTACAAAGTATACATCAGTGACAAATTAAAATTACACGTAAAACATATGCTTGGTAAAATTACGACCCATTATTGTTAGAACATTACATTTAATAGTTCTTTCACTTCACCACCAATTATCGAGGGATTGGGGTTCAAATTTCTGCCCGGTACATGCATGCATGTGTGTGTCTTTAGAAAACTCTTTTTGTCTACAAAATATGACTCTCTCGACCCAGGTGTGGGTACCTAGCGGAACTCCAAATACACCGTGTGGTCGAGTTCGAATACGGGGCTAAAATACCACAGCGCTAAACGGATATTACAGCCGGAGAAAACATTTCCTTTGACTCGATCACAATTTGACCCGAATTCACAAAGGAGGTTTGTCGACAAACCTAGGTTTATGTGCGTCATATGACGCGTTTCGACGCGTTTTTACAAACCAAGACGCGTCGAAACGCGTCGTTATGATGCACATAAACCTAGGTTTATCGACAAACTTCCTTTCTGAATTCGGCAACCGCAATATCCTCTTGTATTGTATTATATGTCATAGTCATTGTGATTTTCTTCGTCCATTTCAAAAGGTGACGCACAAGCGGCGCACAAGGCCTATAAGGTTGATTTTTGGAAGCCTTTGTGATCGTGTGCTGCATGTGCCATTGATTAGAAGAGTTTGGCCAACCCGGTTCGAGTTGGACACAATATGGCGACTACTGCTATGTTGGGCAAGCACGAAAGCCAGTGACCCAGTGAAACCAAGTTGGCCAAACTCTGTGTATAGATGGCTCTGATCGTGTGCATAATGGTGCTCCCTCTTTGTTTAATATATTTTAATTTTCGTTTTGGCAATTTTCTGCTTATGGTTGAACTCATTGATACCTTTTCTCATTACCTCTCCTGATCTGTATTTATTGTCTTATGTACAGTATGGAAGTGGTTACTTTGCGAAACCGGTTGTCGACGGTCATTTCTTGCCGGACAATCCGATTGAGATGGTAAAGAGACACCGGTTCCAGAACCTCCCAACCCTGATAGGAACGAATGAAGACGAAGGTTCAAATAACGCCATGTACCAGTTCTTCCCCGGTTCCCTCTTCTCGAAACCGTCAATGAATATATCCGAATTTCGTAGCATCTTGCCGCGGAACCTTTGGTATGCTAAAGACCCGGTGGAGGTTACTGCGGTCGAGCAATGGTACGTCGACTGGTCCATCGCCGACAACGAAACCGCGGATCAGTTCGACGCCTTGATCCGGCTCGGGACCGACCAAGCGTTCGCATGCCCCACGGAGTACCTTGTGCGTGGACTGCAGTCAGCGGGCGTTGAGGTGTACCGCTATGAGATGACCCATGACCCATCCTGGTCATTGTTTGGGGGCGTACCCAAGTGGATGGGGGCGGCTCATGGGGAAGATATACAGTATGTGTTTGCCTGGGACTTGAACCCGTCGTTCGAACGTGTCGTGGGACAGACAGACGAGGAGAAATTCATGTCCATTGAGTTCATGAGATACTGGTCAAACTTCGTTAAATCCGGGTAAGAACTTGATTTAGTAAAACTTATGATATCAGGAACCGTCTTATATTAAGAGTTGCGATTGATTTGAATCAATCGCAGGTCCTATATTCGATCGCAAGTTTGTAGTATCCTATCTCTTATGTACATAGGTGCGATTGATATAAATGGCAAATACGTTATGATTAATAATAATATATCAACTCTTTATCAGACGGGGTCCTGTTCTATGCATTCTTATTTATATATATATATGATTGTATATATATTTCAATCATGTTTTAGAATTAGGCTAAACTTCTTTTGGGCAAATCTACCTCCAACTTGTAAGCAAAAGTGTCGGGGCCCCTTTACTTTGCTTGTTTTTGCAAACTTAATTGTCGAGGCACCCCTACTTGTGTTGAAATTTTCTAGGCAAGCATTCCCCCGCACGGTTTGTTTTGCATGTTTTTTAATATTTTTATAGCAACCCAAATGAACCGATAGGGAGCAGGGATTACCCCGAATGGCCGAAGTACACCATGCCCGACCAAGAATACAAGCAGTTGTCATTGAACATGACCAACGGACGGGCGATGAGGGCGTCATCGTGTTCTTTCTGGTTGAACCATTGGCCGGACCTTCATTACCTAGCAGGTAGGTGATGATGACATTTTTAAAAATCAGAAATGTGTAAACTGACATCGTAATGTGAGGGTGTGAGTATTTATAAAGTAGATTGAATTTGAAGCACAATTCAATAAGTCCGACGCACATAAAATATTTGGTCAGGGATATCTTAAAGGTATTTAAAATTTGGGGAAATTTTGAAAATTTGCTGGATATTGATTCTGTACAATTTTGGTACATTTGGATGCCCCTGTGGAATTATTATAAGCACTAGAAAATTTAGCCCCTAAAACACTTCTGCTTTCGAGATAAATTGAATATAAAAATGTACCGGTGCTCCCGGTAAATTTTGATAAATTTCAAATAGCGCCTACGGCCATACAATGGTAGCTGTGACCATGAAAATCTCAGAATATGTAGTTGTGATATATAATATCCGAACGGGAATAACCAATCGGTCGATTTTAGTCAAGAAACATTATTGTATAGCTACATTAATATATGGGGGGGGGGGGGGGGGGGGGGGGGACACTTTTTTTTTTTTTTTTTTTTTGGTCTCGAAATTTGAAAATTTGACATTTTGCTCCGTTGGGGGGGGGGGGGGGTAAGGTCAGCTTTTTTAAGGACAGCCATGGGATTTTTTTTTTTTTTTTTTTTTTAATAAATAAAAATTTAAAAAAATCCAAAGGGGGGGGGGGGGGTTAGGCGGGTTATGGGGGTTTACACAAAAAAAAATACCAAGGGGGGGGGGGTTAACCTCCCAACCCCCCCCCCCCCCTCTGTGTACGCGCCTGATTACACATATAAATATCACATTATTTGATTTCAGGAGTTTAATAGCAAAATTCGTATTAAAATATTGACCACCTATTTTATCATCTAGTTGAAATTATTCAGTCATATAATATTTGATAAACTTTGGTACGTAACTTTTTTTTTTTTTTTTTCATTTCCAAAATACGAAGCCCCTCCTGATGAACTGTATTCAGACTGGCAGGATCAGTACGCAAGATGGCGGGACACAGATATGAATGACTGGACGAGTGAATTCGAAAAGTACAAGGAAAACCAATGCCCTGATGCTAGCCCTTAAAAACCAATAACTGAAAAGGAAACTGAATCGTACTTCTCTCCACCTCTTCCTCTTTTGGGTTTCCTCTTCATCACTCTCCTTTGTATTTTTCACTTCCGTCTTTCTATACTCTATTTTATTTCTACCTTTTCTTTTGTATCTTCTATCTTTCTCATTTGAACCTTCTTTTCATCCCTCTTTTTCTTGTGTACCTTCCCTCCATCCTTCTCTTGTGCATCTTCTCTCCACCCTTTTCCCGTATAGCTTATCCCCTTCTTGCTCTTTGCATTTCCTCTTCATTTACTCTCTTGTCAGTGCCTGTGTATTCAATATTCTCTTCATCTTTTCTCTCTATCTTTTCTCTCCACCTCCTCATCTGCATTAACTCCATCTTCTTCATCTTGCAGCCTTTCAAGAGGCCCAGCTATATCTATTATGCCCTGTGTGTGCAGCCTCTGCCCATTTCTTTCCCCTCTCCTCCCTACGCATGTGCCCCTTCCTTTATCTATGTTCATGTCCTCTCTTTCCCCTCTTGCTTGTAACAACTCTAAACCGTCTCTTAGTTTCTCGCACATCTTATTCAACAATAAAAAATAAATACATTATTTTGTCTTCAATGTTTTTTATTGAGAAAAAAAAAATCATGATTATGTTTTGTTAGTCAGTATCATAATATAACATGATAGTAATAGTTAATTCTAAAGTGTGAGACACCTTTTAATTATAATCTAGATTACCAGAATAAAATATTTCACTCGTTTAAGGTAATATCAAATAATGTCGACAAACAGGGGGCTCATTACAATGTAACATGGTACACAACAAGTTACAAATTAAACCCAAAATTAAAGCATCTGAAAACACATGTTTTCTTAATTTTTATAAAGTAATTTTGATGTTTCAAACTTTAAAGACTCTCTACCAAAAGGATGACAGAAAATGATCAGAATTACAATACACATTTAAAAGTAGTACAAGATAGTTTAAATAGAAAAAGAGCAAATTAAATGTTTACCAATGAAGTCATGGTTCTTAGTAATGAACAAGGAAATGTACATTGTCATTGAACATAATCATACATACTCATTGCAAATGGCAGAAATAATGAATTAAAGTGGTTTTTACCGATGGTTTCCTTTTACTCATGACAAATCAGAATTACAATACACATTTAAAAGTAGTATAAGATAGTTTAAATAGAAAAAGAGCAAATTAAATGTTTACCAATGAAGTCATGGTTCTTAGTAATGAACAAGGAAATGTACATTGTCATTTTACCGATGGTTTCCTTTTACTCATGACAAATATAACAATGTGCGGGATATTGCGTAGAGCTTGCACCAAGTGCCATGAAAAGGCCCGATGAGAAACAATGTTTTTTAACAGGATAACATTTTAATATGATTCAAGTTATACATTTGCGGAAAACACCATGTTGTATAAACTAAAAAAACGCAATGTGTTAATGAACAAATCATTATACACGCACATACAAAGTGATTAATTGACACTAGATCTGACGAGAAACTACTTGTTAAAACTATAAACAAGAGATAAATGATATCTACATGAAAGAACTATTGAATGATGAAAAGTAAAGCACACCAGTGAAAGACAAAAATTTAACATGGGTGGGGTCAAGTATCCGACCCTCTCCAAGGAGTAGTGTGTACATGCATTTACATGAGTATAATGTACAGTATCCATGTTTTCTACCATTTAATAATGACACATGGGTGCATTCTGAATGGCTATGACCCTCTTCACATTGAAGTATTGCAACATAAAAATAGAATATTTATTACAACCATATAAATGAGAAATGAATATTGTTTGGTACATGCCATAGATACACATGATTTGTTATCATTTTGGGAGTGATAGCAACAGGGAGAGATAGAGAGAGAGAGGGGGAGGGGGAGGGAGAGAGGGAAAGAGAGGGAGAGAGAGAGAGGAGAGAGAGAGAGAGAGAGGGAGAGAGAGAGAGAGAGAGAGAGAGAGAGAGAGAGAGAGAGAGAGAGAGTGTGTGAATGAGAGAGTATTTGCAGGAAATTTGTTCATCTTATCATTACTTGTATGTACAATTCGGATTGACTTTTCATCACAGTCCCAAATATTACATCATACTTTTCATCCCTGTGCTTCAAATCCACTAAACAATCAACAGATGAGTGTAGAATCAGTGAACCATTGACTTGCCATGCATTACTAATCTGATGTGTGACATCATTGCATGGCCATTCGCTTGCCTTTTAATACGACTATACTGTATCTCTCCAGTCATGCATTCAAGGGTATCAACCTATTTATAATTTACGAGACAATACATCAACCATTCTAGCCATCGGACCAGGAACTTAACAGGGACTGAAAACTGCAGCGCAATGACTCACAAAAAATATCACCGCACGCCCGTTAAACTGACTCTCTCCTTTACTTTTCTGTTCTTTTACATTTACTGGAAGCACCAGAGCATAAAAATGTTTTGTAGTTGGAACTGTACTTCATGTAAGAGATTCCTTTTTGGAGATATTCAACACCTATTTAAAAAAAACGAAACTCAAAATATGCTATAAGCTAGACAGTTTCTTTAACAATGGTCTTTAATACCACAAAGACCAGTCCTAAACTGTTAACAAATTAAATGGAATTGTACTAGTGACTATAGCCAGTGCAAATTATCCATTACCATGAAATTATTGATGAAAATGTCATGTTGTCAACCAAAGCCTCACTAGTACAGCTGAATCAATAGTGGTTTAAACCAGTTCCTGACGTCATGTTTGCGTTTCAATCCCAAAGCCTATCATTCATATGAACTATGAATACAGGCATTTCTTTTGTAAATGGTTGAATGGTTTTATTAGTAGGCCAATTTAACGGTCGAAGCTTTTCCAGAATGCATGATGACAAATTATACCTCAGGAAGAAAAATCAAACATACATGAACTTGTAGGTCTAACCTATGTACACTGTATATAAGGTATAAATTAGTACACTGCAAAGCACCGACGCCTAATTAAAGCAAAATCAATAAATAATGAAGACGACATAGGAGGTAAAATTATTTAAATCCTTCAAGTTAAGACCAATTCACAGTCTATACATGTACATATTTGCTGTTCCCTTTTCATGAAATATGTGAACTGCATATTGTACATGTATGTACTATGTACACTGAAGTAACATTTGTCACTGAAATCATTATTAGAATTCTGCAATGTGATTTTTAATTTTTTAGGTATGTTTGTGAGCAATATGATTAATTTTTCTTAAACTACAAAACAAAAAACATTTATATTATATTATAACTGACAAAATTCAGAAGTCTATCCACAATAATGTTTAAAGTACTGAACAAACAAATGTACAAATGTAGCGACAAGAAAAAATATTACAGGTATATTTGTTTACTTAGTATTTACCCTACTGCCGCACTTAAATGTGTTGCAAATCAATTTCATATCAATATTGATAGTTGTATGCTTCAGAATTCATGTTCCTGTCACTTAATATCGTTGGCTATTCATTGCAAGTCTTTTGTGACATTCAGCTTTTTGCCTTTATCTACCATATTCAGAACAAATACATGTTTTCGTCAAAAATTGTCTTAATACAAGAACTTCAATCGTGTCTTTTCCAAAATACATCGTAAATAGTAAGGCACTAAATGTACTATAACAACTACATGTACGTTGTATACAAAGGGACTGCTCAGTTTTTTCAGCCTACCAAAATGATTTTCTCTAATTTGTTGAGGAGCTGTATGATAAACATTGAGGAATACATGTACATGTACATAGTATAGCATTTAGAAACATGAGCAACAAACATTTCAGCACACTTTGACCTATCATTACACATGATTGACTTATTTCAAGCCTTCAAGGTGCAAAACAGATTGCTTTTAAACCCTATTTCACTGTGCTTCTAAGGTTAGATAAAATAAACAAAACAAACTTACAAAGTTTAAACTTGATAGTAATATTACTAGTGGACTATTACATGTACCAAGATGAGTTTTACCGAACACAATTTATCAAATAAAAATCATGATTTCTTGAAAACAGCAAGTCAACAACTGAACTTTAAACAAATAAAAGTACATACACTTATCATCTATGTGACCCTTAATAATTATAATAATACATTTATATAGTGTTAACAACCCATTCCATTCACCCTGGAAGTATGGTACACCAAATCCACACAAAAAATGATTAATATTTCACTGAATCCACACATTTCATAAATCTTAAAAGTGTCATATACATATCAATGTTGCTTTATTGTTTAAGCATAACACCAAAAGAATTGCTCTTAAAAAAGCTTCAAAATGTTACATTTTAGACGACCGGGTGTTTGCTTTATTTCATTTCGGCATTTTTATTGCTTTTGTTTTTATTGAAAAATTGGGGTTCTGAGTGAATACAATCCTGTTTTACTGCCAATGGCAGAACATTTTTATATTTCATTTATTATATTTCAGAGTTAAATTTTGTGACAATAAAAAGATTCCTTCCTTCTCTCCTCCACCCTTCTCTTTTATTTTGAGAAGGTGAGGTAGATGGGTAATAATCAGGAAGACAGGAAATTTGGACAAAAAAAGTAGAAAAATCACAATAGTTCTACAACTGTCTTTTCAGAGTTGAAAATTTCAGGTGAAGTATCAAATAATCTGTACAAACAGAGGATACATGGACATGTACAGGCATCAAGAAACATTAATATAAATCAAAAATGGATTAGTATATGTAGGCAAATTAACAAGGTGATTGAAACATGTTTCCAATCAAAGTGATTTGTATGTACAGTGCACATGTACAGTACATTATATGTCACAAGAAAAAAAATCAGAAACATGATCTATCCATCCATCAAAAAGTGGGTCAAATCTTCATGAGCAATCTCTGCACTGTTGATATTAATTTTGAAGTTTATGAATTCTAAATGTTTAGTTTATAGTTTGTTTTTCTCACACATTGAATGTAAGAGAAAGAAGTGAATTTCCTTTATACCATTTGCACTGATTCTTGCCATGACAATATTTATTGACATTTACCTAGATTGCAACCAACATCAATTTCAAAAGAAGCCACTCGAGTCAATAATATGAATGTGTTGATGTCCTACTCCAGTGGTTTAGATGCTGACTGTGGCATGAACTCTTCTTTTTTTGAGGAGCTCATACAAGAACTATGATTTTGCAACTTTGCACTTTAAAACAAACTCTGAACACCCCCATTATGATGAAAATGACAATATTAGACACTATGAAAGACTTTCAAGATAAATCAAATTCCAAGCTTTCATCAAAAACTAACTACTGAACAAATATACAGCCTCAGGCTTAACTACTATAATGTGTGACCTGCACGAAAGTTTATTTCATGCCTTGACTACAATACGTTGAAAAGGTCACAAGTGCATCACTAAAAAACAGAGCAGAAATTGTCTATAAATTTGAATAACTCTTCAAAACGTGTCTTTCAGAGAGGATTCACCTCTGATAGTAAATGAGAAATTAATACCCAAGATACTACTCAAAAAATATTTTCGAATGCAAGAATGCTAAAAGCCAAAAACTGTGACTTGTGTTTAGATGGGACTACATGTCATTTAGCTATCTAGCTGTGTCTATTAAAAAAATGGCACATATAGTAATGGCACAGAATGGGAAAGTCTACAAAATTCCTCTATACTTTCATAATTTGGCTGACAATATTGTAGTAAAAATCTGTCTTTATCTAGACTAAAAATCTTGTTTTGCCATTAGGAGTACTGCTCATTACATTTGGATCAGAGTCTAAGGCTGTTATGCATATTTTTTTTTTATGAACAGTCACATTGAAATATCCTATCATGTAATTTATTCTACTGAAAATTGACAAGACAATGGATGGATTGTATATCTACAAAAGTTTTAAAGCCCCACTGCACTCCTTATAGCTACTAGCGCCCTCTATACAGCCAACAATGCCCAAGCGGTACATGTTGATCCCCATGATGCCCCTTTTCTTATGTTAATTGAGAGCTGACTTGATGAGACAACCACCTGCCAGTGACCTTGCAGGGAGGTTAATCCCTCCATGCCAAACTAATGCAGAGGGGCTTAATCAATAAAATATGGTTCGCTCGACTAATAAGCTATACATGTAGGTTACATGGAAGAAGATGTTTTTTGCATACTCCTCGGAATGGTTCTAAGCAGACTTAACCATCAATTACGGTATTCTCTCATTCCTAGAGGCTTCATGCAAGAACCAAGAACTACCCACTTCTCATAGGCAATGGCAAAATAACTTTCCATAGCACATCTTGCTATTGCAGATAAGAATGTACAAGCAGTCTTGGATACTCTAGAGCCTGTGGGAATACATGTACACTTCTTGAAAACTCTCCTAAAAGGTGAAAAGAGGAATATCATGGGTGAAATATTAAAATTCCCTTTCTCCCCTAATTAAATACCGTAAGCATACAAAGTTCTTAATTCCTGGCTTCAGAGCCACACTAAAAGACCGAGTGCACTAGTTACTAATAAAGGCAAACTTATCCTGACGTTGACGGCTGGAGAACTCACGATATTGTTGCAGAGGTTACTGGAACAACAGTACTTGCAGGCACCATAATGCTGACTGAGACAATTGCTTGAGCCACTGCACCCAGATTCACAGCCTCGCTTCACGTTCCAGTAGTTATCGAGATGGTTTCCTCCAGATTGGAACATAGATGTCTGACAGAAAAGAGTGAAGATTCATTTGTTTAGGTAAAAGTCAGAGAGAGTGGTTTAAATTCTTTCCCTCCCTACAGTACACGCATACAGCTACTTACCCATGAGCCAATTTTCTTCTTTAAATTCTACTGAAATATTTCTGCCTCTCGTGGTTTCATTTACATTTAAATGGTAACACAAGTAGACCAAAAAAAAGAGGAATTTTTATATCTCTGCACTTGTCACTGGCGCCCAATCTATTTGAATGTATAATATTAAAAACAAACAAAACATCCTAGCATAGCATACTTTGAAGGTACAAATAATCTCTACAAGTGATGTTCAAATGGATGTTCTTACGCTACTCCACAGACCAATCCATTGTACTGGTACTTACAAAGCACGAGTGTTCACATTCCACAGTAGGGAGGGTCTCTGAAGCGTTCCAGCATTCTGTACCCACTGGGTTGTCCACCTGTTCACATTGATAACATGTGACCATTTCGGCTGTTATCCTCTCCACAGCTAACAAGAAGAAACGAAAGGAAACAACAAAATCAAAATCTACATAATGTCACAGAACTTAAAGAGTTACAACTCATTTTGAGTGTTGAAAATGGAATTCCATTTCAGAATTATTCATCATGCAGTTAAAGGGATCGTTGAAACCAGTAAGTTGTACCGGTAATCAGTATACAACTTTTTGAATTTAAAAAAAAATCATACTTCATAATCAAAACTGCAGTTACTGTGTCATAGTGATTAGATGTACATGTACCTCAAATTTCTTATCTCTTGGTGTTCATTTCTCAGCCATTTTTTTTCTACCGTAAGAGTTATTCAATGCACAGAAAACAGATCTAAAATACAATATTCTAAATACCATACTTACCAAACACTAGTAATACGAGTACCACAGGGATAATTGCTCTCGTCATATTGGCCGATGTTATTTTCTTTCAACAGACAGTCTGAAAATGAGTAAGAAAACATAAATACATCAGGGGGATGTTTCACAAAGATCCTAAGTTGAACTTATCTCTAAGTTGGACTTAAAAAATATGGAAAGCCATTAGCATCTTTGAAAATATTTTGTAAAAGTTATTTTGAAAGGCATTCATTGTTTATTGAAATCATTCATATTTTCTATCATCAAGGAGATTTCATGTTCTGGATGTGGAATTAATAAAAAGTCTAAAATACTTGAATTTCTGCTTTTGAATATATTTCATTTAAAGACTCCAATGGCTGTCCATAATTTTTAAGTCCAACTTAGAGTTAAGTTCTACTTAGGATCTTTGTGAAACATCCCCTGGAGTCAATTAAAATCTAAGAAAAATGAAAGGCAAAGGATTATGATAACCAGTATATCAACATGATCAAGAAGTTAATAAATGGGCAAGAATATACTAAATCTCTCAGAATAAGTAAAGTTGTTTCTTGGTGTGAGGTTTCCTTTAAACAAATTAAAGTAACAAAAGATTAAAGTCTAATGCCTCAGTCACACCTTTGCGTATTTGGCTTACGTATTGCTGCATATTTATGGCAAGCCGTTTTAACATTTATTCCTATTTCTTGATATCAAGAATTTTTTTGGGGGGTAAAGCGATTGGTAATTCTTGATATGAAGATATAGGAACAAATGTTAACTAGACTTTAATTCGTCACTTAGACGAATTAGGTGACACGTATGATAATGGTTTACATAACGAATAATGCATTACACGATATATCATTTTATAAAATGATTCTCCCATTATGATCTATCCATATGTAAAGATTGAATTGTGTCCCCTTGATCTTCATGGATCTAGGGAAGATAGATTGTGACGATATACATGTATGACAATACACCTTTGACTCTAATTTACACCATGAAGAACGCATTTTGACGATTTTATCTTATTCAAAGAAATAAAAATGTAATTGATAAATAAGAGCACATGCCTGAATAATAAAAAGTGAATAGTGCGTGACGTCATGATGTCCCGGCGTAAATGAAAAGTCAAAATAAATGTGGGACTACATTAGCGATCATTTTTAGTTGTTGACGTGAGCTTCGCAAGTCGCTTGATAATAAAATCTTTAAATATCGAATGGATATATACTGTCACTGTATAAGTATGTGGATTAGACCAGAGTTGAATTAACAGTTAATAATATAGGAAAGGGAAAGAATGAGAGGCAGGGAGTATTGATTTTTTTTTCTTCAAGTAATGCATGGAACTGTAGATAGCTGAAGATAGTATTCGGAAGGGAAAGGAGCTTAGCAATCATCGAGGCCAGGATGGTAAAAAAGGAAGGAAATAAAGGGAAGTTTGATTTTGACCCATTGTGTTTGACTAAAATTCCTTCATGATCTCGTCATCAAGAAAGAAAATAGGTTGTATTTGGAACTTAGATCAGAAACTCAGCTACTACATATTATAATTTGGGAGAGATTCGAATAAAGATAAACGATATCCGGTTGAAAGTGCATTGTCGTTGATTACGAAATCAATTGAAATCGATTGAAATTAAATATTTTAATTTTAACGAGCACTATAATGGTGTCGGGAAATCCAATTAGCCAAAAAGAAGTATCACATTGCTAACATATGTTCTAAGCTTTCAAGAAGTATAGGTGTTATATCCAAACTCAGATATTTTTTATCCACCAATTTATATTGATAAACTATATATTTTACAAAAACGTGCAATACGACTGATAAAAAAGAGTAACTTCGTAGTCCCAGTCTTCCACCTTTTTTTTTTATTGAAAATTCTCCCAGTGTATGAACTTTTAAAACTCAATAATATATCAGTTTCATGTTTAAAGGGATAGTTGAATTCTGTTTTCAGACCGCAAATGGCTTTAAAGTGCATGCTTATTGCTGTTATTCTTATCTATGACATTTCTAGTGCCCTTTTGGGACCTAAAATTGCTATGAAGGTAAATTTAGACCCCAAATGTGTAAAATTTAGCCAATCATTCCAATTCAGCTCCACTTTCAAAGAAATACAGTGACCGTTAATTAATTATTTTTTAATTGGCATTGGCTGAAATACAACATAAAAGGTGCTGTTTCGTTTTTTCAACGGCTTTTTCAAATTATCGAATATTTTTGGTGGTACACAAATATTACAAATCGCTATATTTAAGGATATTTTAGTCGTTTCTGAACCGATTTTGATAAACAAAAATGACTTTGTCATTTAAATTGTATGTTCTTTCAAATTTGACACTCAGTGTGTCATTTTCTCATTCTGTACTCTCCCTATTTTTGTATTGCTTTTGTTTGAGTGTAATTGTGGGTGTATGCATATACATGCGTGATACTGCTGATAGTTGATGGTTGGTCTTATATTTCTTTCCTCTTCTAAATGTACGTATATATACCTAGTAAGTTTTATTCATTTCGCTATTTAATTTAATTGAATATTGTGTTTACATTGATAGGGGCCTCATGTACAAGCACACGTTGTCCTGGCTGATATAATTATCTATTCTGTATTTATGAGTTGTCATGTTTTGTATGACGCAAATAAACTGTATTATCATTACATTTAATTTAGAGGAATACGACCAATACTAATGTGTTCTTACTACGTAGACTTTGTCAGAGGCAATATTTCCCTACTATTTCTCTCTCTCTCGTTATCTTTCTCTCTTTGACCCTCTCTCTATTTACCCCTCTCTAGCTCTCACACACACACTCTCTCTCTCTCTCTCTCTCTTTGTCTCTCTCCACTCCTCCCCCTACTGTCCTATTCCCCTCCCCCCTCTTTCTCGCTCCCCGTCTCCCACTCCCTCTCTCAATCAATCTCTATCTCCAGGCGCGCCGGAAGCAGTTTGGGATGGGGGGGGGGGGGGGCAAACATTCCAGGGGGCTCACCTTCCAGGGGCAGTGACACGATGAGAAAAAAAACGTTCGGAAGGGGGGGGGGGCAGACGAAAAATCTGCATCACCACCAGTCTTACACGTTACATGCAGGTCCCGCGGAACGTTTTTCAAAGTGGAGTATTAACGATCAGGTACAGTAGAGCGTAAATTGGCGTGGGGTCCAGGGCATTAGCCTCTGGAAGCTCGGGGGTTTTAGGTATTTAATAACGGTCAGATGAGCATCCAGGGGCCCGCCCTAGGGCCTTTGGTGGGGTCCAGGGGCATAACCCCTGGGATTTTTTTTTTTTTTAGGTATTAAATTCCGATCAGATGAGCATCCAGGGGGCAGAGCCCCCGGACGCTCTGGGGTTTTAGGCATTTAATTACAGTCAGATGAGCATTTTTTATACTTTATTTGTGATTTTGGCAGGTCACTTATTTTTTTTCTCCGTCTTTCTTTCTTTTTCTCTTTAACATACTTTTTCAAAAAGTGAGGGGGGCTCGAGCCCAGCCACTTTGCAGACTATGACATAATAAAGGCTTCTAAATAAACATATTTTTCGCCCGACTGTAATTTGGGAATCTCTTTTTTTCCAACAAACGCATAAAAAGGTATGACTGACAAAAAAATGGAGAAAAAATACCAGAAAATCATGTCATAACAGTCACATTTGTAAATCACTGGTATAGAATAAGAACTACACCCCCCCCCCCCACCATCAGTACGCCAGTGTCCAGGGGCTCATGTCTTCTCACCCCTATAACAAAAAAACGGACACGCTTTCCCATTCTTGCACAATATGTCCACGATATGCGCGTATCGCTATTATAAAGACCTCCATTTATAAATACTGTATAGGCGGCATGCGCAATGTTTATAAAATTCTGGGAATTTCTTTTTTTTTAATGGAATTGTATATGTGATTCAATTCAGGTTTTTATTATTGTTATGTTCTTTTGGGTTAAAAATACAAACCATGTTTACTCCTTTACTGCTTTTTTTTGGGTTTTTTTTTGGGGGCAAAAATGTGTTTCGCCCCCCCCCCCCCCCCAACTTCCGGCGCCTATGTCTCTCTCTATATAACACATATAATGTATACATTTGCAATAGCTCCCTAGTACTTTTATAGACTCTGTTGATTACAAGTCCATCTGAGGTGGCCTCTGCTTCCGGATGAGGAAAGAAAGATCACGAGAGTTCAAAATAACAGGAAATAACACCCACTTGTATTCGGCCTAGGCAAATACTATTATTAGGGATGTTAGACTAAAAATTGAAGTCCATTAAATCATGACAATTTTGCACTGTATTTGGAGAACACAATTTATCATTCAATATGGAAAAAAAATGGAGTCAAAATATAAATTGATTCTCGAGATATTAATTTTTTAATATTTTTATTTAGGGGTATTTCCTGAAGTTTTTGCATAGGAAATTACAATGTAAGCATGGCACCGAGTGTAATTTAAGTACATAGTAAAGAGTACATACCTCAACATTGCAAGCATTGTTTGATGTGCCATATCTCAAAAAATATATCTTGTTTCTCACTGAAATTTCAACAGAACTTTTCTTCATTATATTCTTATAACCTTGAAATTAAATATATTGTTGCCATGGAAACAAAACAAAGAAAATAAGAAAATATTTAAAAAGTAATATACCGGTATTTACTTTCCAGATCAAATTGCTACTCAAAACACTTTGCATTCCAAGATAATAGCAGGGACATCTTCCCACAACATTTTTAAAATTAAAATATAAGGTTGCCATGGCAACAAACATAGAAAAACAAAGAAAAACAAAGATATAAAAAAAAAAAAAAAAATCACAGGAAAAATGTTTCCTGATAAAATTTGAGGATCGATTTGAGGATCTGGAGGATCGCTGATTTTCAAGTAAAGGTTTTCAAATAATCAGCGATACAAATATAAGATGATATTTCAATGTAAACTTGGATTAAAATTCTGGCAGTCATGGTGGAAAAATATATCAATTCCAAGTACATGTAAAATTGCTTTTTGATAAAGGAAAACAAATATGGTAAATGTCCAGAAAACCTCTTGTAATGTTACAAATGTATCAGGAGAATAACACCTGTATATTTACAATTACAGCCGAGTCACTAGAATTGCTCATTTCTACGTAATTTCCCTCGAAACAGTGTTTAGTTTCCCTTGAAACATTGTTTTAATAATTTCTTGCATTTTATCTTTTTTAAAGAGGGAGTTTGTACACTTAGAAGAAGAGCCACATGCTGGCGCTTACAATGGAAATTTCCACGTGCGCGCACGTGGCCATTGCGGCTTGATGATAACATCACGCTTTTCTTTCATTTATATAGTTCCTCCCGGCATTTCACTCGTACACACATTCAACATTTCAACTTCTTTTTCTATAATAAATACTGAGTTATTGCTTTAATAATGGAGTCTTTAATTATGAAAAACTTATATTCAACGTTTGTAGTCGATCAAAATTCTCAATTTATCCATGGACAGTAGTTTCTAGCTGCAAATATTTAGTTCGGTCCGTACGTGTTCAGCACAGAATCACCAGGGGTTGGGGGCGAGTGTCAAGACTTACGGTTGTTCAGTCTTGAGTAGTATACATCGGAAGTTTGTGATTATCTGTAGATGATCCTGAATGAATTTCCCTTCAATTTTTGGCTCAAAGATAGCTTGGATATCACTTATAAATATACTAACATTGACTTTTGCAAAAAGTTCATTTTTATAAGAAAAAGATCGCTATAAATTGGAACTTTTTTTTAATGCTCAAATATATTAAAAGTATGGGGTAGGCAAAAAAGTCAACGCGCATGGTCAACTTTTCTAAGTTTCATGAATGGCATGTCCAAATTTGGGCATTGTGTGACACCCGGATCACCTCCAGATTTCGATGTAAACATGCGCAGTTTTTCAGAGAGTCGCAGAAAAGCAGTGCCATGGCTGCTGCAATGCCTTTCAAACGCTTGCAAAGGGCCAATGGGCGAATTAGAGCTCATCTTTACTGCCATATTTTGATTGATTCTATGATTCTACTTGTGAAGAAAATGCTTCCAATATTGGAATACAACTTTAATCTACGGTAATTCTTAATCAATTAGTTCTTTCCTGCTAATTTTGATTTTTAATGAATTTTTAAAGATTGCATGTTTTTATTTCGACTACAATCACCGTTGGCTCGTACGCACACTGATGGCTCAATTTCAGGATTGCAGCGCGAGCGTCTGACATCCCTACTATTATTTAAACAAAAAAGAATCCCAGAAAAAAAAATCATGAATTGCCATGACAATATTCATTTCCATTTTCATTGATTTGGAGGTAGTTTTCGGCCGCATGTACAAAGTCAATTGGAAGCAAGCGCCGTGCATTCCTCTGCTGATCTATAGCATTGGTGGCCGGAGCGGGTATCCCACACCCCGGAGCTCCCTGTGCCGAAAACTACCTCTGCGGTGATCAGAAATTGGAATCTGAATTTGACAGAGATATCGTGTGTGCGCTGCGGTTTCCGGCTGCAATGATTTAATACATGCGATGAGATACTTTTGAGCTTGCGACTAGCACAAAATCGGGCTCTAAATCTGAAAAGTACTTGAAATAAAGCTCATTTTATGGTACCCATATTTCTTACAGACACGCGTAAGATACTCGATTTTTCAGATTCGGGTAGCGGGACCGCCGATTACATCGCTTAAATGTGATATTTTAGGATATATTTTTCATTGCAAATGTGGTTCTTCAGTGACACTGGCATCATGGTATGGTATGTTCGTGATATGTGTTATGCTATTATGCGATGTATTTTAGAGGGATTTTACCTTGCATCCAACCAATCGGCCAAAAACTGGAGCTGGCCGATTACCGGCTCCTTTACTCTAGGCCTATACAATTTATCAAAGCCACTGTCCAATATTGGTCGGGTGCGGGAAAGTGTGATTTTGAACACATTTTAGATAATGTTTACTTACCTCTCCGTGGGACCCTATGGGAGCAAATTAAGGCTCCCTCGAATAATATAAAACACATTTCGAGGGAGCCCTTAAGGCTACCCCCCCCCCTAGACCGAAAGCTTCAGTCTCTATAATCGTCGGTTGTTCCACTGAGACTACGTCTGGCTCCACTAGACCTCCGGTTATAGAGACTGAACGACTGCCTATGCCAGCCTGTGTTGAACTTATTCCGCTAGATTTTAGCCGCTAGGCCCCTCCCACAAACTTGCCACGGCCGTATTGTTATGCCCCCAAAATCCCCCAAAATGTCATTTTACCTCGTTCATTTCCAATTTTAAATTAGGCCTAGGCTATAATACATCGGTTCCACTTACTAACTTGATTGATATAATCCGTTTAATGGTCCCTTTTAAGGAAATTATCGGTCAAAATCGACATCCATGTTGAAAATCTTGCAAGCCGTGTTAAACTCTCGCTGCCGTCAATCTCATCCCTTCTAGTCTACGCCGAAGGCAAAATGATTATGAAGGAAAAACTGTGCGCCATCTACACGTTCGTAATGGCGTTATCACAGTTTTTCCTTCATAATCATTTTGCCTTCGGCGTAGACTAGAAGGGATGAGATTGACGGCAGCGAGAGTTTAACACGGCTTGCAAGATTTTCAACATGGATGTCGATTTTGACCGATAATTTCCTTAAAAGGGACCATTAAACGGATTATATCAATCAAGTTAGTAAGTGGAACCGATGTATTATAGCCTAGGCCTAATTTAAAATTGGAAATGAACGAGGTAAAATGACATTTTGGGGGATTTTGGGGGCATAACAATACGGCCGTGGCAAGTTTGTTCATGTTTGTGGGAGGGGCCTAACGGCTAAAATCTAGCCGTGATATCTTCAACATAGGCTGGCATAGGCGATCGTTCTGTCTCTATAACCGGAGGTCTAGTGGAGCCAGACGTAGTCTCAGTGGAACAACCGACGATTATAGAGACTGAAGCTTTCGGTCTACCCCCCCCCCCCCCCACAAAATTGAGAAGAAAAAAAATTGGATAGTAATCTGGATGATGGATCTAGACTCTACTCTTTAGATCTATATCTAGTTAAACATTTATATCATAGCACATACGATTGAAACACTCAAATAAATTAAAGGGCATTTTCTGTTTACATTTTGAGACAAAACCCACATAATGTCTAGAATTTAGAAGTCTAATTTGCAAATGCCTTGCATGGCATGGTACCAACACATTTAACAACGCATGGGGCAACAACATAGAGAGTAGATCTAACCTTGAAAAGTTGAAGGCTCGATTCAAAACGACACAAGAGTCCGTTAAAATGGACATTTCAGGGAATCAGATAAACAGTGCTTCACTGATCCAAACATTTTCTTTTATAAATGGGACATACCTTAATGAACTTAATTCAGCTGGTGGACGAAATCGAAGTCTGTTCTTGCCTTTGGTTCCTTTTCAAAGCGGTACACACTACAGTTAGCTAGTTGAGCATTGCATTGAGTGGAAATTTTAGAGCATGCGCATGCGATCTGTACGTGTGCGCGCGCGCGCTCGCTTGTCCTGTGTGTAGGGTGAAGTATATATCTCTATGGGTGTAATGCACTGCACTGTACATGTACGATCGAGAGCAAAAGTTTGGCGTTGAGATTGTGGCGCCACGCCGCACTAGTGAGCCAGAATCGCCTCAAAGTGTGCCAAAATTCAAAATTGGCGAATGTGAATTTTTATATTTTTTTCATTCGCTTGGGGAAGAAAATATTCTAAAGAATATTTTTCCACCCATATTTTAATATTTAGCGAGTTTTAAAAGTGTCATATACCCAGGGCTGCGAACATGGGAAAATCTATATGTTGAAAAGGGGGAAAAAAACCCAGATCCATTTAGGTTGAAATGCATCGATTTGTTCCTATTACTTTCTATACGGATGGCAGAGTTCCTTGTTGTCTGCAAATAAAAATGATATACTTTACTAGAAATATGATACTGTTTATTACAATATTCTAGCAGTATTGCCGGATATTCCCATACAAATGGATTTCCAAACATCAATGTGAATTTCAATTAAATGTAACTTTTTAATTACCTCCTTCCATAGTCGTTTAACTTTATGAAAATTTAAGAATAAATGTGGTATGTCTCTACTCAGTTCTTGTCTACAAAAGGAACATAGTCCGACTCAAAACCAAATTTAAAGAGCTCAATGTGTTGACAAGCAATAGCGCCATCTTATGTCATTATTGAGAAGACCATCCACTTCGAAAGAAAAGAAGAAAAAATCATGATTTATAATTGATAATGATGAATTGAAAGATTGAAAACACATCACAAAGGGACATATATAATTTCATCCGATTTTATCTAAATTCATGATTTAGTATAGTCCTTCATGACTATGCTCAGTGTGGATTGGCGATAATTGGTAAAGTTTTAAGATTAGACATTATTCGATGGAAACGAATGATGCCCCCAAAGAACATTGTGGCTCCAAGCCACTGATCTCTACGTAATTTTTTTCTCGTAGAGATCTGGGTTCAAAGCCTTACACAATTGTTACAAAAATAATAACCGAAAATCATGAGTTTTAAGTCATCGGCAATGAGATGTTACTGACCATGGGGATAGTTAAGTTAATTACAGCCAGTGGTTGTTTCTTCTCCGAACTCACATTGTAATCTCTTTATATACTACATAATTATGTTGTCATCTTCTAACTTTACTTGTTATGCTTTTCTCGATATCTCACACTACAATTTTATATTATTGAATAAGAACAACAAATAACCACAATAGCAGTAACAGCAACAGCAGCAACCTTTATCCTCGCTTTTTTTTTTTTAACCCGTTACTTCCTTTTACGAATGTATTCTCAACTCTTAACTTTAGCCCCCCAGAGTGGAAATAAAAAAGAACAGATACCACCCTATCGCTTTTTCCCGGTCTTCTGAATGGTCATCATTGTAGCTGAAAATACCGGTTGTATTCTGAAGCCCGTAAGTCAACATCAATCACCCAACTAATTATCATTCTATACGTCAACAACCAAGAGTGAAATAGCATCCCATTGTATCATTTTCATTAGTCACGGGCTGTGAGATGTCGCGGTTACAGAACAGTAGTACTTAGCAAAATCCTTTTATAGTTTCATTCTCTTTGTGAGGTTCGCACCGCCCCTTAAAAGCAAACCCTAATCCTGGCTTTGTCGTGTCTTTCTTTTAGCTAAACGCCGAAAAGCAAATTGTTGTTTGAAGCTTGAATGCTGTATTGTTGTTTTGTAAATAGGTCCCTTTAACTTGTGATTAACTCTGTTTCCAGTTTTTAGAAGAAGGAAAAGTGGCGGGGCTAGGCCTTGAGCTTAAAAGTAAAAAGCAATAGGAGGAGGGGAGGGCTTTGAAAGTGAACGTTCACTCTTTTAATGCTAAACTGTGTGTAATCTTTTCTGGGGGAATCTTCCTTTCTCATTTTTCAAAGGCATGATATAAGATTTATATAAATATCGACGTTCAATCTCAAGTTAGCAGACAATTTGATGTTTATGAATCCTCACCTTCTATTATTTATGGACATGGGAATTATAATGTAGACGTTCTTTTAATATTCGAGGCTCAATTAAGGAGCAGAAATAATAGGATTTAAATTGTATAACCTGATCTGTGCTGAGTGTAAAGAAACGATAAAACATTAAATGAATCTCACCTGACTTTCTGAATCTTGTGTTAATCAATTATGATGCCTGCTAAAGATATTTGAAAGTTTCGGATCGGAGGCGGAGATGTGACTGAATTAGGTCATATCACTTTGACACGTCAACTCATTGTGATACGTATGACAATAAATTCTTCTAGCAAGCTCAAATTGCCTCTCCAAACCCGGGAGAGAAATTTGAATCTGTTACATGAATGTCGATGCGCGTTTTCCAATTAAAATTGTATTATAACACAGTCACAGTTTCATTATAAAAATAAAACAAATCTTTTTAAGGGCATACAAAATACTCGAACGCGAGTGAGAGAGATAAATGGAGGAAGAGAGCGAAAGAGCGGGAATGCCGGAAGAAATAGAGTGGGGATAAATAATTTTCAGAAAGAATGTGAGCTGGAGAGCGAAAGGTTGCACTGCGGCACCGGAGACGAACCAATGATCATGACGATTGGAATAAACTACGCCATCCCTCATCCTTACTTTTTTTGTAAACTGTTTTGAGTTTCAACAGAGTTATTTATCATACCAGTGTCAACAAGAGCGAAACTTAATTTACTTCAACAATAGTTATAAGAATGTTTTCGAGTCGGTTACCAATTGGCTTTGGTACAATCAAGTAATTTAGTCTTAATGATCCCGCGCCATTTACACATTTATTTTGATCACTGAATTAGGGATTAAGAGTCGTTTGTTGACAGAATAGAAATTGTAGACTCAAAAGAAAAACGGAATTTGTTGACAGTAGATGTCCAGGTGGACTATTGTGTTCGAAAATCCTCCCTTTTAACAATTTTAAGTCGGAAATAATGGGAGATGATAAATCAATTCGTAAGAATGGAAAGCTATACGATGTGACGGCAACGCGGCATCTAATCAGGGATTACCGAAAAATAGGAATTTAACTCTGGGTTATCTATGGGCGCGTTCATGCTTGATTTTGAAGGCAGAATGAGCGATTTGTAACGCTCATCGTAAACGCTCATCGTAATCGCAGTTCCACGGTGCACTGTTCATGCTCACTTCTCCAGGCAATTCTCCTTGGGTGGCCTTCAGCTGGATTCGCAAACCTGTGTGCGCATGCTACGTAGACCCACTAGAGGTCAGTGCGTTGACCCCATTTAAACGCGTTTACAAATTGTAAACGCATCTTTTTGTGAGTTTACGATCGGCGATCGTGATCGCCGTTTTTCGGTGATTCTACAAAAGTGAGCATGAACGCAAGCGTGCTTTAAACTAAACGCGTAACAGATGCCTGATTCTGGCCGTCAAAATCAAGCATGAACGCGCCCTATGAATAAGAGATATTGGACAGTGCATAGTTGTGCATGGAAAGCCTATGAAAGTATAGATGCCATCAAAAATTATCTTTAAAAAAGATATATTGGAAACAAAATGTTTCAAATTGCAACATTCGTGGTTTTTAAACCTTTTTTTAAAAAATCGTTTCAAATCGTTCGAAGCTCAACGAATGTTCAATCATTTAACCCAAAATCTATGTTCATTTGACCCAACTCTGAAACAGGCAAAAAAACATATTTTTTACGATTTCAAATTTTATATCATGATTATTTTTATTATTACTCCGTAAAAAGGAAGATGAATAATTGGATAATATTCAATTTATTCTCCAAGAAAGCATTTGTCTAAAAGAATAAGGTATTGCATGCATTAGTTAATTTTGAGAGCCTCTGGTTTTTTGGCAGTTTCTTTCTTTTCATGAGTAGTTTAATAGTTTCTCAAATGTTTTATCAATCAAATTCCACTGTATTTCACTTACCATTTTCAAGTAGAGAAAAGCATTTTAGTCCCTTTTTAAAGAAAATACATACGTAATAAACATGAAACATTGATGTCGATTGACAATTTATGATTGAGATTAGTTTCATCGTATATCTCAACTCTCAGTGACTCTTGAGACAAAGTTTTATTGGAAAACACGCCAATCTTGCTCATCTTTTGAAAAAGCAAAAAAGTGAACCCCTTTATTGTTAGAAATGGTACCTAAAACGAAATGAAAGCAGAGCCACTTTGGCGTTTCATCATGATTACGGATAGCACTTTCAATTAAAGTATTTTTTCCTTTACTAAAAATGATTCACTACTTTCATAAACATCCTACTTCAACACATAGGTGTGCATAAACAATTTACCCGCTGTTTACCTTGCCATCATTATTCTCTGCAGTGGTTCGTTCAGCTTCATTTCATTTATAACACGTCTCTTAGGTAATCTGTTACATTCCATTACAAGATTCTCTAAAGCAAACCAAACATTGACCCTTCTCTATTCTTCTAAGGACCACCTGTAATTTGAATGCATCCGATACATCTTCATTCGGGTTACTGCGGGCAGCTTAGAGTCACGTCGCCAGAAACTTTGTAAAAAGGAAGTATAATGACAACCACTCTAAAAAGCCAAAGACCTCCTATTTGAAGCTAAATTGTTACAATTTTGGTGGTTTGGCTATTGTATTGTTGGAGATTTGGTGGAGTTACGCTGATGTAGGCATTTTAAAGAAGAAGAGTATTGTCATGGCTACAAACCAGATTATAACATGCCAGGTTTACAAAGATCCCTATTAACATGGCTGTGGTGTTTTTAGAGAGAGGCACGCAAAGCCAGTTTTCTTGTATAACTGCATTCCACGACAAAGTTTTAAATAGTCTCAGGTCCCAGACAACATGGGCAAGCTCATTCTCTTATCCTGATATGAAGATTATCGACAACAGAGAAATTTCTAAATATTTCACATCCGGAAGTGCAATAGTATATAGTCAACCACATCATTATAAACGAA